AAGCAAAAGACAAGAAGAGAAAAAAAAAAAAAAAGAGAGAGAGAGAATTACAAATTTGGACAGAGCCAGAGAAAGAAAGAGGAAGAAATGCTATCCAAAGGATGCCAGTGTGCCTCAGTTTGACCTGAGGATTACCATTTTTTCTCTCAGAAATTCTCTGTGCGTTATAACTGGGTTCTGGAAGCCTTGCAGAAGATTGTCCCTCAAAGAAGAAAGCACAAGACATATGGTCCACCATACACACTGTACCAAATACATGTTTTTGCTCAGCAAGTGGTATCCACATTTGTGCACCCACCCTATCCTCAAATCACTCTACACTCCCCGTGCAAGCATCAAACCCTTTATCCCTCCTTATTCACTTCTTATCAGAAGTTCTTAAGAAACTGCTATGTTTCAGGACATAGATATGGAAGAAACTTTTTCCTTAAAGAGCACTGGGGCTCTGCTCGGGTACGACATTAAGAGGGATAACTCTGTGGGAGGTGTTGATAACAAGCAGATAAATTGTGCTCTGTTTCCAGCCAAGTATTCTAGCTCAAGCTCAGAAATGGATTCCTGAACCAAAACAACATTTAGCCCTAGGCGGTGGACCTTATTTATGCTCCAAGGTAATTTTTCTGAGAAATTGCTGAGCACATTTTCAAATGACTAAGCAACTGGATAACTTTCATTATCCCACAGTTTTGCTCTGCTACTGCACAATTTGCATAATTCTGAACAAATAGTCCTGTGCATGTGATGCTTAAAATCAGAATAACAGATACACTGCAAGCTTTTACACTTGAGGAGGTAGACTAATGGATTAATGACACATAGAGTTACTTATGAAAATTCACTGTATTCCTCTTTCCATAACTTGAAACTAGAAAAAAATAAAATGGGCTACTCTGCTCAACATAGCTCCACATTTCATAATTAAGTAGCTGTATTTTAAAACATTACATTTCAGTTTCTGAAACAAATTTCTGTTGTTACCTTTCTGATTTGAATAACAAGGTATTTTATGCCTACTTTGCACTTTATTAGTGTATTTTAAACAGCTCTCCATAGATCTGGTTACTTGCGCAAAGAATTGGACTGCAGCGTTTATACTTTCGTTAAGTTCTTGAATTAAAAGATAACACATTAAAATTGTGTCATAGGGAAGAAAGTTGTGAAGAGTGCTGATGTCAAAGCACAGAAACAGAAACAGTAAATTTTTTTTTCAGCACATTGCTTGATAACAGATTTGCACAGGGTCTTGACTAAGTATTTTATGATTACCTTTTCAAATGTGTTATCTAAATTGACCTGCCTCTGCTTTCAGACTAATCTTTAGAATCATTAATAATAACAGCTAAAGTCAATATAAGACTAAAATTAATGAAGTCAATAGTTCTTGAGTGTTCCTAAAATTATACCCATAGCCCACTGGCGTACAGCTTCTGAAAAGTGAGAGGCATAAAATCAATTTATTTTTTTTTTTAATTCAGCTTTATCTTCCCTGCTGTTCTCTTCAGAAACAGCCATTTTTACTATTATAATGTTTTACATGACAATCATACCATGAGATTACTTCAACTCTCTCAATAAATTGACTGATTTTTGCAATTCGTATGATTGTCTGATTTCCTTATGGAACTGATATGATTAGATTCTGAGCAAAAAGGTGTGCTTATTTTGGAGTATTTGGTATCTGAGTGTCTATCATTCTAGAAAATCAGTCTTGTTCTGAATTCAAACAAAAGAGATGTTCCACTGCTGAAATTTAAGGTGAACAAGTAATGCAAAAAGTAATGCAAAAAAATCTGTCAATGCAGAAACTTAAAATATTTCCTATGTAGTTTAGGAAAAACACCTAAGCTGGCATTTCAGGCCACCAGAAACCATTTTAACTACAAACCCATGAACACCTACATTTGCTTAACATGAAGAATTTAACTACCCCACATACTTCAAATATATGTTCAGGAATATTTAAATTATGGTTGCCAAATCAGAGGCTATTAAATGGTGTTTTTGTAACTTAATTTGTTTTTCTGTGTAATCATTATTTTGGAAGAACAGCAAACTTTTGAATATCCCAAGTGTATTATGAACCTGCAGGCCTACATGGATAAAACTGAAGGAGATATTGTGTTGCTATTATGCAAAAGTTTATTATGCTTTTTTTTCAAAATTCTCATTATTCCCTTACAAAGTTTTCAAATAGACTTGAATTTTTAATTTCTAATCTGGAACCCAGAATCCTATCTGTATGTATTGGGCCTGGCTGGGATGGAAGTAATTTTCTTCATATCAGCCCGTATGGTGCTGTGGCTTGAATTTGTGGGTAAAAGGCTGTTGGTTACACAGTCACATTTTGCATAATGCTGTGAACAGTGCCTGTAGAGTGCTGAGGCTTCTTCTCCTTCTTTCTTAGCCCTGTCCTCCCGCTCGACTCAGTTCTGTATCTCAATAAGAAAGGCTCAACAATGAATAGCTTAATAAAATAGCTATTTTAATAAGCCAAAATGAAAAGAAATATACAGATAATGTCCCTTCAGATGCTGGGTACCCCACATTCATGTAGCATTGAGTAGACACAGATGGATTTTCCCGGGGCACGCTGCACCAATCTGGTATGTGGAGAGGTTCCTCCCCCATCATGCTGAGTGTCTTCTATTTTGCATAACAAAAGAAACCACATCCTCCTGATGGATTGGGATGTCCTTTCTGACACCACTCATCCTAACATAAGGGCTTTTGAAGTCTCATGTACAAAGCCCCAGCAGAGTAGACATGACTGTCCAAAACCACTAACTCTGCCACACAACATCTTCTGCAAGGCTCCCAGTACACCTTCAGCAGACCAGTAGGAAGAAAGCAAGTTCTGGTAAGCAGGTATGTGCTATCTAGAAAAAGAGACCAAACAGAAAGGTAAGTAACCAAATGTCAGTGTGATATATGGAGTAATAATTCGTGTCAAGAAGATGGTTGATGTTAATAAAGAAGGGGGAGATGTGGAAGTGTGGCCATGGGGGTTGACAAGTCCCATGACTGATGATAGTATCAAATTCTTAACGATGAGGCTATCAGGAATGTAAAGAGTTTAGAGGGAACCAGGAAGGGTGATTCAGGAGATGCCATGCAGTCTCGGGTTTCTTGTTCTCCAGCTGTTAAAGCATGGAAGTTGCTGGGGGTTTGCTGTTGCCGGACAAAGTTGTTTGACCAATGAAAAGTCATTTGAAAAGAACTGCTGTGGGGTGAAGGGTATAAGAGGGGAGCCTGTCCTCAAGATGAAAATGCAACACTATATAATGAAGTTATGTCACCAATAAAGAAGTAGGAAAAAGGAATGAATAGGACAGGCTAGCAGAACTGGGACCAGGACAGGAACAGGCACATTGATTGCCTCATGAAGATAGGTTCGACCAAACTCAGCAAACCACTCAGAGAAGCTTGCACAGAAAGTCGCTGGAAATGGGTGCACCGGAGCTGGGAAGAAGCTAAAGCTGAGCGAAGCGGACCCGCGCACACAGCTGCCCCTCACTGGTAAGCAGCTGCGCATTATGGGGAATCATACATCCTTAGGAACAAAGACCTGAAATATGGGACCAAACTGAGGTCAAGATGTGGGACTCTGCAACTAAAAATGACAAGGTTGCAGTGGGATTGCTCGGCACGTGGCAAGCAGTCTCTGAGGCGTTAAAGAGCCCTGTGGGCATGGACATTAATAGTAGTAGAGTTAAAGGATTGTTTGTTAAACACTTGCCAGAATTCGGAAAATTTTGCCATGTTTATGTTATAATTGATACCTTTTCTGATTGTACATATGTATAGGTGTACCCAGGTTTCTTATGAATATGTAAAAGCAATGCTCTACATGGATATATATTCAGAAAGTTCAATGTTAGTGTGTGCCTGTTGGTGGAGCGTAGACTCCCTGTGCATCCAGCACTGTTTACTTGCCTTTTGTAAACATTACTAAATTCAGATTGAGTTGTATCTTCATTTATAACATCAGTGTCATTGGCTTGCCTATATACACCAAGCCACATAATTATCTAAAATGATAGCAGCAACAGGGAAAATATACAAAGTTCTGGGGAGAACCATATGATGGGTGAAATGATGCTAACATGGTGTGTTGTTAAGTCACCTTCACTGAGACACTGATGAAGACTATATATACATCAACTAACAGGGTACAAGTTAGCAATTATGAAATAGATCCTAAATTTACATAGGAGAAAAGACTAGAAGAACCACTGGAGGGCCCTTTGTTCTCAAATGCTTCTCTGAAAACTCATGGAGTTTTATTTAAATTGGCATAACATGTATTATTCCCTGCTTTTTTTTTTTTTTTTTCCCTGAATGTATTATTATTTGATGTTGATGAATTATATGGTTTTATAGTTACATGGATGAAAACAAAATAGTGAAATGCATTGGGATAAGGAGAGGTATTTTTTGATGTCAGCACACTTCCTGGTATTTTTGAGAAGCTTGAGAAAAAAACAAAACAAAACAAAACAGGAATTTGCATTTTATAGCTATGCATTATTGTAACAAAAAATGTAAAAGTCAGGCTGACCACGGCATAGGGCAGGGCAGCAAGTCCTTTTGGTACATCATCACAAGAAAAAAAGGGATTCTTTATTTTCAGGGTTTACTGTAACAGCAGGTATTTCGTGGCACACTGACTCTGGAGCACACCCCAGTTCCCTTCCTTGTCAAAGTTCACGTATAATTATGTGTAAAGACGCCGGAACAGGCTAACGACTGTGGTTAGTGCCGTCCTGTGGTAGAGGTGTCGGCAGTCTTGGCAGCCACACACCCGACTGTTCCCTCTCCTTCCACACATACCCCTCTGCTTAACTACTTTTTGTCACGTTTTACTTCACTTTTTGGTGTCTGTGCCACCCCCCCGGGCGGCGCACCGTGCCCTGACCAACCCCGCCTCACCCTCCTTCCCGCCCCGCCTCCGCCATCTTCCCGCTCCGCCCTCCCTCCCCGCCATCCGCCCGCCATCTTCCCGCCCCCTCCCCCCCCCCTCCCTGTGCCCCCGTGAGGGTGGCGGCCGCTCGCCGCCGCCATGTTCCACAGCAGCACGCAGCGCCGGCACTGGACCTTCGGCAGCGAGGAGGAGCTGGCTCGGAGCCGAGCCGATGCCAACCGCAAGTTCCGCAGCCGAGTGGCGGCGAACGGGAAGGTGCGGGGCGGGGTGGAGGGGGAAAAGGCGGCGGCGGGGCTGTGGGGCTGTGAGGGGAAAGGGGCGCCCCCGCCCCCTTCCCGACCCCCCTCCGCCATGTCGCATCCCCGCGTCCCCTCACAGGTGGTGCCGAGCGAGCTGTGCCTGCTGGAGCCCCAGGAGGAGCTGGCGATCTGCAAGTACTACGAGAAGCGGCTGCTGGATTTCTGCGCCGTCTTCAAGCCCGCCATGCCGCGGTCGGTGGTGGTAAGCAGGCGCCGCGGCCCCCGGCGCCCTGCCGGCTCGCCTCAGCACGGGTGCCCCGCTGTTACGCCTTTCCCCTGCCGTCATCGAGGAGTGGAAGCCAACCCGGAGCTTTCCAGAGATACAATTAACGATACAAATGTTTCAGTTAATTGGAATTGATTGCAGTGAGTCAGGGATACAGTAAAACCGCCTGGCTGCTGCAGGGGGGTCCCAACGCTGAGGTGTGTGGTCCCCGGTTGTTTGTGCAGTGCTGGTGTGTGTCTGAGCGCTGGGAGCTGGTCTAAAAGATTAGGCCCTGTGACTAAGTGCACAGTCCGATTGCTTCCTAAATTCAGACAGGCTTGGTGCAGTGATTATGTCCCTGGGGAGCCAGTTCCAGTGTGCACCCACCCTCTGGTGAAGAGCCTCTTCCTGATGTCCAGCCTAAACTCCCCCTGCCTCAGCTTAGCACTGTTCCCAGGGTCCTGTCACTGGTGTTTACAGAGAATAGGTCACCTGCTGTCATCCACTCCCCCTCATAAGGAAGTTGTAGGCCACGATGAGATCCCCCCTCAGCCTCCTCTTCTCCAGGCTGAACAGGCCCAGTGCCCTCAGCCACTTCTCATACGTCTTCCCCTCTAGGCCCTTCACCATCTTCGTCGCCCTCCTCTGGACACTCTCCAGTAGTTTCATGTCCTTTTTATACTGTGGTGCCCAGAACTGCACACAGTACTCGAGGTGGGGCCGCACCAGCGCAGAGTAGAGCGGGACAATCACCTCCCTTGACCGACTAGCAATGCCGTGCTTGGTGCACCCCAGGTTGGCCCTCCTGGCTTCCAGGGCACACTGCTGGCTCATATTCAGCTTGCTGCCAACCACAACCCCCAGATCCCTCTCTGTGGGGCTGCTCTCCAGCGTCTCGTCGCCTAGTCTGTATATGTAGCCAGGGTGCCCCCTCCCAGGTGCAGGACCCAACACTTGCTTTTGTTAAACTTCATGTGGTTGGTGATCGCCCAGCTCTCCAATCTGTCCAGGTCTCTCTGCAAGGCCTTTCCACCCCCATCCAAGTCCACAACCCCTCCAAGTTTGGTGTCATTGGCAAACTTGCTCAAACCACCTTCCAGTACATCCAACTCATTTATAAAGACCTTGAAGAGGACTGGCCCTAAAATGGAGCCTTGAGGGATCCCACTAGTGACCATCCGCCAGCCAGATGTGGCCCAGTTTACCACAACCCTTTGAGCCCTGCCCGTCAGCCAATTGCTCACCCACCATATGATATTTTTGTTAAGTTGTATGCTGGACATTTTGTCCAGTAGAATCCTATGGGAAATTGTGTCAAAAGCCTTGGTGAAGTCCAAAAAGATCACATCAGCTGGTTTCCCTTGATCAACTAGATGCGTGATCTTATTATAAAAGGAAATCAAGTTTGTTAGGCAGGACCTGCCCCTCATGAACCCATGTTGGCTGGGACCAATGACTGCATTGTCCCCCAGGTGTGCCTCAATAACTTCAGGGATCATCTTCTACATAGTTTTACCAGGCACTGACATGAGACTGACAGGCCTGTAATTGCTAGGGTCTTCTTTCTTGTTCTTCTTGAAAATTGGCACAGCATTTACCAGCTTCCAGTCTACTGGGACCTCTCCAGATTCCCAAAATCATTGAAAAATAATTGAGAGAGGTCCCGCAATGACATCAGCCAGCTCTTTAAGCACCCTGGGATGGATCCCATCCGGACCCATGGACATGTATGGATCCAGGTGGAGCAGCAAATCCCGCACATGTTCAGGGTCAGTTGGGAGTTTTCTGTTCGCATATCTAAGAAAACCTTTTTTACTGTCTCCACAGACATGGTCAGCTTCAACTCTAGTTGGGCTTTGGCCCCACGAATTTTCTCCCTACAAACATGAACAGCATCCCTGTATTTCTTCCTCATTGCCTGACCCTCCTTCCAGCAGCCATACACTTTCTTTTTCCATCTAAGCTCCAGCAGAAGATCCCTGGTCAGCCAGGCCAGCCTTCTGCCCTACCTGCCTGACTTCCAGTATTTTGGAATTGCCTGATCTTGTGCTTTTATGATGCAGTGCTTAAAGATTGACCAGCACTGATGGACGCCAACGCCTTCAAAAGCAGTTTCCCAGGGGACCTTGCTGACTAGTCCCCTGAGCAGCCTGAAGTCCGCTTTCCCCATATCCAGGGCTGAAGTTTTGGTGGCAGTTTTCCTTCTGTCACCATAAATTCTAAACTCAACCACTTCATGGTCACTATGACCGAGGTGGCTGCCAATTGCCACATGTCCCACAAGACCCTCTCTGTTCTCCAGCAACAGATCTAGGAGGGCACCTTTCCCTTAGCTCCTGCACCACGAAGTTATCATCGAGGTGCTTTATGAACCTCCTGGACTTGCCATGTGGTGATCCCAGTTGATGTCTGGCAAGCTGAAATCCCCCATAAGGACAAGGGGAGTTGACCTCGAGGCATCTTTTAGTTCTGCAAAGAACAATTCATCAGCGTTGCCGTCCTGGCCGGGTGGTCTGCAATAGGTTCCCACTACGACACCCCCTTTATTTGTTCGTCCCTTAGTCCTTACCCACAGGCTCTCAGCTTTGCCATTCCCAACGTGAAGCTCCACGCAGCCCAGCCCATGCTTCACATATATCGCCACCCCGCCTGCCCTGATGCTATCAAGTAGTTGCCCCAAAGCCCTAAAGTCCCTTTTGATCGCTCTGGGACTTCTCGTTGCTACCTTGTCATGACCAGCAGCAGGTAGCAGTCAGTGGGCCGTGCCAGGCGCGTGACTTCCTTAGCTAAGTCTCTCACCCAAGCCCCGGGGAGACAACAGAGTTCCCCATGGGTTGGGTCCAGTCGGCATATCGGGCCCTCTGTCCCTTTCCGAAGGGAGTCCCCCATGCCTTAGGCACCCTCTCCAACTGGGACGGGCTTTCGTCTCCTTCATGGTTCTGGCTATGGTTCTCTGGAGCCTCCTGCCTGGTACCTACGGGTATCATGATGAATGGATCATGATGAAAAGCGCATTTACTAGGCACCAGTAGGCTGCTGCCAGATGCTGCATGAAACCTGACCTTATATTTGGGAATTGGCTGCCCTAACTCAGTGTGCTGAGTCAGACTTGCCAAGTAACAGGTTTACAATACCTGATTTCATGCTGGTGGGGCTCAGATCAGTGGGGAGTTCAGCACTGACAGGCTGAGGTACTTGCAGACACCCAGAGAAGTGTCACTTTTAAACATGCAGGGAAATAGACCGTCACTGTTAAATTTTGTGTCAGTGTCAGATTCTTACGAAGATGTCATCGACTTTTTGCGCAGTCTTCTTAAATGTATGTCTAAAAATGGCAGAAAAGACAACCAAACTACAGTTCTGTAAGCTTATTACACCCACAGATGTACTAGATTTGGGAATGTTTAATGGCACGGCATTTGCGCCTGTATTGTGTCCTGTATGCCTGTAGTATACATTTACACTTGTTACTGCTGTGTGATCTTATTTCATTTTTTCTCAATCTATTTTTGCTTCTTACTTTTCCCTACTCTTTTTTTTTGTTTTTAATATAGGGAACAGCTTGCATGTATTTTAAACGCTTTTACCTGAACAACTCAGTGATGGAGTATCATCCTCGGATAATAATGTGAGTTATCAACACACCTTGCGTTACCATATCGATTAGAGCATTAGAAGTATACTCAGCATTTGTTACAATATTTAATCTCTGTTTTTTTTTTTTAAATATATGTAAAGACCTAGTCTGGTCACCTTCTGTTTCTACTCGGAAAAGTTTGTGTTCTATAGATGGTACTTTGAATATTAAAAAAAAATAATTCTGCACAGAACTTCTCATGAAAACATATGCCAATATGAATTATTTTTTTTCCTTTTATCCTTGTCAAGGCTAACGTGTGCGTTTTTGGCATGTAAAGTAGATGAATTTAATGTGTCCAGTGCACAGTTTGTTGGTAACCTTCGAGAAAGCCCTGTTGGACAGGAAAAAGCTCTCGAACAGATACTGGAATATGAACTGCTACTCATTCAACAGCTGAACTTCCATCTTATCGTGCACAATCCATACAGGCCGTTTGAGGGATTTTTAATTGATATTAAGGTAATAATGTTTTATGTGCTACGTACTTCATATGCTAATGTAAGACAAATGTTATGATGGCTTATGATAGAAAAAATAAGTGTGCTCTTAATGATGTTGATTGTAAAGGGATAGGTGTTTGCCAGGAGGTCTGTTTTGTTGTGCTCTTTAAACATCATGTATTTTGAACAAGATGGTCAGCTACTCTTTTGCTCTATAATACATTGTTGAGTTTGGTGTTCTGAGCTGATGAGTGGAAGTTCAGGAACAGCTACTTACTTTCCTATTCGTTTTCTAGACTCGTTATCCAATGCTGGAGAATCCTGAAGTGTTGAGGAGAACAGCTGATGACTTTCTCAATCGAGTGGCTCTGACAGATGCATATCTACTCTTTACCCCCTCACAGATAGCTCTCACTGCTATCCTATCTAGTGCTTCAAGAGCAGGAATTAACATGGAGAGGTAGTCTTTTTGTTTCTTTGGAGGGATTTATTTGCTACCTATATAAAACTTTACTGTAGATGTTCTTGACTAGTAGAATTATGCATTTACTTGGTAGTTAACAGTCTGCTGCATTAAGTATGCTTCAAAACTAAAGCTGTAGTGATTTCTTTGTCAACTTTTGAAAAGCAGGAGCTATGCAGTTAGTTGGTGTCTGGTTTTTATATTCCTTTGAAATGTTTTTTTTGCTTCTTCCAAAGTGATGGCTTTGCCCTAATTAGAGCAGGATAGGATTTTCAGAGTGAAGAGACTGGAAATGCAGTAGAAAGTGAAGGTATGAAACATAAAAGAATCACTGAAAGAAAAAAGTTAGATTTTTAAGAATTTCTAAGATACCAAAGATTTTGGAGTGAAATGATGTTTCTCTGAACTGATGGCTACTAGCCATGCCCAAACTGTAAGTGCTACACTTGGTTGGTACAACCATCAGTGTACACAGATATGAACTAATGATAAGTTCATTCAGTGATAAGGTGCTCTTAAGTAACTCGGTTTCTTTTCTCTGGCCTTTTTCTGTTTTCACTTGTTTTTAGGGCTTTGAAAGCCCTTGTTTCAGGGCTTTGATACCAACCCTGAAAGAGTTTATTAAAGCCATTCTGTTTACAGAGTCTTCCACAGCGTGGGAGAATGCTCTTCAGGATTCACTGTTTTCTCAGAAGAGTGTGCCAGCGTTCAGGTGCTTATTGCAACTTGTCGATCTCATTCCTGAGCGTATTTTCTGTACTCCATACATCAAAACTCAGAAAGCTTGGCTATAAAGAGAACTAGAATAGTTTGTAGGTAGCATGTGATTCAAGTTATGTGAGTTTTGTCTACTCATAAAAAAAAAAACAAAACGAATTCTTTGTCACCCGTCAGCACCTACAGTTGCCACAACCTTGTCAGTCACTGTTTCGCATCAGCTTCAGCTGCTGCACACGAGAGAAGCTGCAGCACGGGTCTTGAGGACCTGTGAGTAGGGGTCCCTGCATTGGCAGGACAGAGCTGGGTTAGAACACAGAGGCTTGAAAATCTGTGGGTCCCAGATGTCAGTGTGTATAAAACTGTGCTCAAGACGTTACAGTTTCAGGAAAAACAACAGCAACTGGTCTCTCACAAGTAATGGCTACCAGTTAGTCTCTCATTAGGGTGTCAGCAAAGGGCTCGTGAAGTTATCTGAGCAGTGGCTCTAAGTGAGTAGCTGCCAGCTTGTAGCAATTAACATCTTCCTGGTGGCTGGGGCCTCAAACTGTGAGCTGCAGCTGACACAGCTGAGTGTATCTGTATTATAAATAAGTTTTCTCTTCACACAGATTGGTAACACTTTAAGAGTCCTTGTATTTTACATGCAAGTTTTCTTCCCAGCAAGGGATAAACTGTTTTTTTCTTGTAGATCTTGACAAGGATTATTGCTTATATATCTTGTGGTTTTAACCAGCTGGTGTGTGGGGTTTTTTTTCTTTTTTTTTTTTTGGTTTGTTTTAAGATTTGGAAGCATAAATGAGCAAGTGCTAAAGCTGAAAAGTGAGATTAGTCTCTAAACTTTTAGTATTTTTACTCGGAGGTCCTGTATCATGTGTTCAATATTCTGTTTCATAGCTTCAGTTTTCATCTAAATTCACTTAAATCTTAAGTTCCTTTTTTTTTTTTTTTAAACACTGGAATGTGATAAATGTCTGAAATGTCTGTGTAATGGTGTTCCTCAGATGTGCTCTTTTAATGTGTTACTAAAAGGAACTTTGAATCTGAGGAACAGAAGAATGCTGGAAGTGAAGGACTTGCTTCGTCATTTGCTTGTCACTTTATAGCACTTCTGCAACAAAAGTGTTCTTACTAAGTCTAATCATAATGCTTTAGCAGATGGAGATAGGTGTTTTATTAACTAATGGTAGCTGTCACAAGTAATTATGGCACTTTATTTTAGGAAATTATTCTTTCATTTCTCCTTACAGTTACTTGTCAGAAAGCCTTATGCTGAAAGAAAACAGAACATTCTTGGGCAAGTTACTAGATGGCATGAAATGTAAGTAAACAGTGGAAAAAAATGTGAGAAACTGTCTTTCTGAAGGAAAACAAACATACAAAACAAAACAAAAAGAAAAACATGATGTTTTTCCCAACAACAAAACTTTTAAGCAGAAAAGTGTGCTTCCAATGGTTTTGTTCAGCTCAGGGCTTGCATAGGGTAGGTAAAATGTTGGCAGTACAATGAACTACTTACTAGTTATATGCAGGGGGAGAAAACACTCAGACTTACCTTTGTTATTAAATTAAATCAAAATGGTAAAAAGCCTGATGCTTTGCAAATCATATATGTTGTACTGATTTTTTTTTAGTAACTGATTTGCATTCAAAAGTGAGAAATCTGTTTTGGGCACTAGCTAATGTTTTTGTGTGAGTTTGGATGAGTAACTTCTTTTCAGTCACGGTGACTTGAGAGTACAGCTTCTGACAAAAGCTGCACATAACCACTTCTACCACCAGAGGGTGACTTTTGTAAGCTGAGTGATCTGCCAGCATTTGAACACCACTTTTACTTTGTAGCTAAAAGGTGTTTCAAAAGATGTTCTGGTTTTATGTTTAGATGTCTAGTACAACAGAACAAAACATGAATGCTGGCATGGTTTAGCTGTGACAGTGGGGAGTACAGTATGCTGATCATTATATTAAATGAAAGTCGAGGTATGGAATTTTAAGAAGGCAGTTCTTTAATATTCTAAGCTAATGCATGTATTTAAAATGGAGAGTGCTAGCATCGAAAAGAAAAAATCCAGTCTGTTGACTAACCAGACTTCGGTGGTGAATATATCATATAAGTCAGCAGGGTCTACAAATTCAATTTAAATTGAATTTGTGAAGTTTGAGGTACTCTTACCTCTGTCTTCTGCTAACAAACCTAGTCGTCAGGTTTCTTTTAGTGAAATGCAGAAGGAACTCTGGGATCGCATATTCACTTGCAGCTTTGTGGAAGATAGCATTACCCTAAAGGCAGCTCTTTGTAAACGTGGCTGGCAGAAAATTTTAAAGCAGCTGAGATGCTAAATCTGTAAGTGGTTTGTTTTGCATAGAACTGGTGGTAGAGAAGGTCTTATTTCTTGTAGGGTACTTGTAAATTTAATTTACATTCATAAAAGACAGAAACTGTTTTTAAGACTAGGATACAGTGCTAAATACGAAAAACATCCATCTATTTTGAAAGTCGCTGGCAAAGGAATGTAAACGCTGTAATTTGCCATGATGAAAACCAAAAAATGTGATGCTGGCAACTTATTTCAGTTGTAGTCCTTTGTGCTGAGCTTCTGCTGATCCTTGATGCTAATTAGAATTAATCCTCTGTTTTTAAGATGATAGTCAAGCCTCGTGTGTAATCTTGGATACTCCAAGGTTAGTGTGCTGCAAGTGATGGGAAGTTGTGTAAGCAAATGGTTTGGGAGTTGGAGAAGGTCAGAACTTGGAACATCTGATGGTTTGACAAATAAAAGTAGGGATTATAGTTATAAAGCTTTCTGTTAAGTTGGTAAAACTTGCCTTACAGTGTCTTGAAGTCTGTTTGGAATAGATGTGATGTTTTCAAAAGCTAGCAGAGATGTGAGGGAAAAGAGAGAAACTGTTGCCTCAAGGTTAAATACAAGGGATAAGCAGTAGCAGGAGCCACACTACTGATTGATACTGACGTTGTGTAATTCACAGGGTGGAGCAGAAATTACTTAGTTTGCTTAGAGCTGTGTTGTTGCCACTGTAGGCATGAAAAATCTTATAAAGAAATATGAACTGCCAAGGCCTGAAGAGATTGCTGCTCTAAAACAGAAATTAGAGAAGTGTCACAGTCCGGAGTTTTCACTTAATTCCAACATGTAAGTAGATACTATGTAATTTGTTAAATTTCAATCTTTTTTAATGCTGTGGAAACACTGACTGATCTGTAAGTGAATGAAAATGAAAACGTGTCAATGCAAACATGAGGGTGCCTGTTGAAAGTCTTGGTTCTCAGGTTCACACAGTTCTTCTGTAACATCCAGATGTTGTTCCTCTATGCTGATTAGCACAGCAGGCCTCAACGGTGGAAGATAAGGATATAATAGGAAATAACAGGAAATAAGGAGACAGACTCTGGAAATGAATAACTAAACCTACTTTTTTTTCTGGACGGTGGTTAGGAAGAAGAGGAAAGGTTGTGAAGATGATGACTATAACGCAAAAAAGCCGAAAATTGATGAGGTTAGTAACTGTATAGTACAAATACTTGTTTTTCCACTCTAATGGTTGATGAAATTGACACAGCCACTGACAAACTTCTGCCACTGATGTTCTTCTACATATTGCTCACAGTGTTTTTCAGCTCATTTTTAAAGTGAGCCAGTTACTGCAGGCCTGCATTTGGGAGTGTTTTTAATACTCATATTTTCTGTGCGGAGTGGGAAGAACATACAGACCATCATGCTCTTCCTACTGCTTTTGGAAGTCTCTTGACAAACCACAGTACAACATGAAGCTTAGTACTTCTACTCCACTGTCTGAAACTCTGTGATACCACTGAGGGAAAACAGCTGTTAAACAGGCTTGGAATACCATGGTGAAAGTCCTGGTTTTGGAAGGCCAGGAACTGAAATCCTAACTGTGCAGGTAGAAATTCACTGCTCAGGGTTCAACCAAAGGAATATGATGAAATATGTGGAGGTGCCTGCCTGATGCATAAGCTTTAGGTAGTGTTTTTCAGCTGGCTAGTGTTTGTGAAACTGTTTCCTTTTACTTTGGCTTCTTGAATAAGGTGGAAGTAGCTGCTTTGCTAGCAAGGCTTGCAAACAGTGGAGATGAGTAGCTTGTACCTCAGATTGTGAGTCCAGGTATAAATATGGTGGGGAAGGTAATTTAGCAAATGAAAACAGAGTAGGGTAATCCTTCATGATCTAATCTGAACACCTTTCATAACTTTCAGTTGTAATATTGTCTGGAAATTGTAGACAACACTGCTACATTCTGGTGGAGGAATAGCTTTGTAAGAAACCCTTTTTAGTGGAACTTCTATTGATGCTGAAGACCTTGTACATACAGAGAGTGATCTGTCATCCTTACCATAAAATGCATGCTTTTGTTTTTTTAAATAGCAAGACTAGTTGAATTGGGTTGGCAGTGTGCCCTCACTGCTAAGAAAGCTAACAGTATTCTTGGCTGCAGTGGACAAAGTATGACCAGCAGATCAGGAGAGGTAATCCTTCCCCTCCAGTCTGCACTCATGGGGCTGTACTTGGAGTCCTGTGTCCACCAGTACACAAGGATGTGCAGGAAGGAGCCCAGCATAGGGCCACCACGATGATCAAGGGACAGGAGGAGAGGCTGAGAGAGCTGGGAATGCTCGGCCTCGAGAAGGGGATGCTCAGGGGGATCTCATCAGTGTCCATAAATACCTGGAGGGAGGATGCAGTGAAGACAGTGCCAGGACAGCAGGCAGTGGGCACAAACAGGGTCAAGGAGGTTCCCCTGAGCACCAGGCAGCACTTCTGTGCTGTGCGGGTGGCTGAGCACTGGCACAGGCTGCCCAGAGGCTGTGGGGCCTCCTCCTGGGGGATCTTCAAAAATCACCTGGATGTGGGCCTGGGCACCCTGCTCTGGGTGGCCCTGCTGGAGCAGGGGTGGGACCAGATGAGCTCCTGAGGGCCTTGCGAACCTCTACATTTCTGTGATTCCGTGAATTATATAAATTATCACAGTGGATTCTAGTTAGTCATTACAGCACCAACTTGAAAAACAATCTTACTGTGGTAAAACCATAAAATCGTAGAATAGTTTCAGTTGGAAGGGCCCTGAAAGATCAGATAGTTTTACCTCACCTGGCCAATGAAATGTGGAACCTCAAGCACATTTTATGGGAACTCTTTAATGCCGAAAAACGTTGTCTTATGCCCTCTAACTGCTAGTCTTCATGGAACATACAGCAACTGGCAACTGTTAAATTGTCATTTTCATGACTTTTTCATGTTCTTGCAAAGTGACTTAGAGAATAGTTCCAAATGAGCTGTGGAGACTTACTCCCCAGTTTAATTTGAAGGGATCTTACTTCAGCTTACTTTAGTTGTGCTGATACCTGTGTTTTGAGGCAGTTCTGATTAGCGGGGTTTCTTAAGGAGTATTCACAATACTTTTTCCAAAGGAATATACGTGATTGGATAAATTGACATAGTGTGCAGCATTTAATGATCCCTTCTTAAACAGATCTAACAGCTATTGAAACTTTAAATACTGATGTATCTGAACTGCCCAGGGTTTGTACTTTTTCATTTGTGAGTAATTACCACGTGCGGGCACATACTTGAAATAGCCAGGACACAAAGGAAAAAGTAGTATTTTCAAAGTCTCTCATATGTGCATACTTTCCAAGTCTTGAGGTTTCAGTAATGTGCAGCCAGCTGATATCAATTATATCTTTAAGCAATTAGGCTATGATAGACAAGTGCACATTCCATGAAGATTTTCTTCCCAAAAAATTACTAGTTTATAACTGAAGTTAGTACTAATACTGAAGCCACGAGTGGCACGGCAAGCCCATCAATTTGCAGTGACAGAAGAAATGCACAGGCTACTGACTGACCGTTGATGACTCAACTGCAACAGTAATGAAGCCGTAAAAGGGGCCAGTTATTAGTAAAAGGCTGCAGGATGAGCTCCCCTGGAAATCTCTGAAAAGATGTTTGTAATAAACAAGGACGAACTAAACCTCAAACAGGCAGTGAGAATGGGCTGCTGAAACGACCTTGATTCTGAGGCTGGGAATGGATAAGTAGCTTCAAGATTAAAGCGCTTAGTCACCACTAGTTAAAGTATTTCTTAATCTGTAGTCCGTTTGTGTAACGGTGCTGTTATGGACTAAATCCTCATCATAAAAAAACTAAGGGTTTTTGTTTGTTTTTCTCCTTCTTTGATAAGCGCTATAGCATGCTTGCAGAAACAAGCTGGGGTCTCTCCCTTGAGCCTTTCAGTTGTGTTTTCTGGGTTAAGCCACTGCTGGCTGAAAACAAAATCTTTTCCTCTGATGTGTTTATGTATGTGACCGAGTTCTCGCTGGTTTCATCATCCCTACAGAAGATAGCATAGTGGGTGGGTGTAAAGGGAGAGTGACAACAGTTTTAATAAACTAGGGTATCAAAGTTTAAGTGCAGTCTTACAACAAAATAGGGGAAACGTCTTAAACTGTTCTCACATTTAGCAACATGGGAAGCTTGAGCAGAAATCTGGGATCATTGGGAGTTGCCAGGAAATGAAATATCCTTTCATCTTTTTCACTAATTGTTACCAATAGTCTTAGGTCAAGCACATCATGACAGTCTGGGAGGGAGCCTAATGAATGTGCTTCTGTGTAGAACTTGCATGAATTTGTATTCAGCTTTTCCGTGTTGACTGACATTCTTACTGGTTGTCAGAAGTAGAACAGTCCCTGTATTGTCTTACACCAGTCCTGGAAGAAATACATGCATGTCAGGTAAAGTGGACAGACAAACTAAGTTTTAAAATCCGTTTAAAGTTGCTGTTTCAATCTTTTACTGACAGTAGGCACAGTCTAAGAGGTCAAAGTGAAGTTACTTGTATTACTTGAACTCTTTTCAGCTGGCACACATAAGGGATGTTACCCTGATACCACATGCAGCAGTACCAGCTGGTCCATGTTCCTGCACAGCTTACTTTCTGGCCGTGCTGCTCAAGGCATTGCTTTTTTCCTTCCCTTAGGAAGAATGTACCGATGACGAGTTTGCGGAATTGGTGTAACCCCGAAGATGGAATCCTATCACTGCAGTACCCGCTGTCTTGTGACGCGTGAACGTGTCTGCCAAAGGTTCATTAGCCTGTATTAGCACGAGGTATTTGCTCTGTTGCTATTTAATATACTTGCAATAAAGTGTTTTATATACTTCAATTTTAGTTAATTGTAGCTCCGTTATAAAACCCTCATCCATTTAAGGTCAAATATCAGTAAGAAATGCTCACTTAGAGAAATCCGTCACGCACAGAAGAGTGACAAAGTGATGTTAAGAAATGCATTGCAACATGGCAGTACCTGAAGTCAAGACTGGCATTTAGCAAAGTGGTTAAATACAAGCAGAAAGCAAATCTGGTAATAGATCTGTTATGTGGTTTAGAGCAAAACATGCATGCCCTCTTCCCAAGTTTGTTACTGTTCAAAGAATATAACCGTGCCCCTAACATTTTCTGCATTTGAGAAGAGTTTCTCTTGGGTTAGGATCAGCGGGAAGGCCAACAAGGCAAGCATCCTGGTGGGGGTCTGTTACAGACTGCCAAACCAGGATGAGGAGACAGATGAGGTGTTCTACAGGCAGCTGACAGAAGTTGCAAAATCGTCGGTGCTTGTTCTCGCGGGGGACTTCAACTTCCCTGACGTATCCTGGAAGCACAACACAGCCCAGAGAAAGCAGTCTAGGAGGTTTCTAGAGAGCGTGGAAGATAGCTTCCTGACGCAGCTGGTTAGTGAGCCTACCAGGGGAAGTGTCCCGCTAGACCTTCTGTTCACAAACAGAGAAGGACTGGTGGGAGACGAGGTGGTCGGAAGCTGTCTCAGGCAGGAGGAGGCTGTAGTGAGGTGGGGGTTGGCCTGTTCTCCCAAGTGCCTGGCGACAGGACGAGGGGGAACAGGCTTAAGTTGTGCCAGGGGAGTTTAGGTTGGATGTTAGGAAGAACTTCTTTACTCAGAGGGTTGTTAGGCATTGGAACAGGCTGCCCAGAGAAGTGGTGGAGTCACCGTCCCTGGAGGTCTTTCAAACATTTAGATGTAGAGCTTAGGGATATGGTTTAGTGCAGGACTGGTTAGTGTTAGGTCAGAGGCTGGACTAGGTGATCCTGGAGGTCTCTTCCAAGCTAGACAATTCTGTGTGTGTGTCTGTGTGTGATTCTCAAATGTACTGAGAGGCTGCAGCAACTACTTTACACTATGCAAAGTAATATTCACAATTCTGTGACTGACTTGTTACTGTATTTCCTGTTCTTGGAGCCATGATCTGAGATTAGTGGCTGTGATAAACCTGCCTGAGGGCATCAGAGAACAATTTAAAATCTTCCTATCTACTTACACAGCTTCTAAATGTAGGGCAAGCTCTGTTTCCTTCTCATACATTGTTTTAGAACACATGCAATTTTAGTATACGTTCACCTAAACTGCAGCTTTAGGAACGTTTACTACACTGTATTAAGAGCATCAGCTCTACCTACTACCTACACTTACTAGTGTAATATAAATATACCAGTTGTGGCACTTGAGAGCTCTTTTCAGAGCACCTACCTTCCAGAGAAATAAATGGCCCAACTGGAGAGCAACAGCAAGCCAAAAGACATGTAAAAAAGAATGTACAGCAAAGACCTAAAGATAGAGTCCATACAAATTAGAATGAAAGTGAATGCAAAATGCAGTTGAATAGACAGGAAATACTGTGTGATGTTGTAACAGGTGTGTTCATGTTGCACAAGAGTTATTTATGTGGAATCTCATATACCTTGCCAGTGATTCTCAGCATCTTTTCATTCTTTACCAGATCACTCCCAAGAATTGTCATAAATGGGGTTGCAGAATGCCCTTGGATCAACTGCATAGTTTAAGTTCTTCCCCTCCCTCCCCCCTTATTCAAACTCTTAAGCTTTGGTCTGTTACACTGCTGTTCTGGGGATTTATGCTTAAAACCAAAGTGACACTGCATGAACACATCAAAGGACATCATTCACCACATATCCAGACACGAGGAAAAAATCTCCACAGCAACCAAAGTTAGCAAGTTTCCATAGAGTTGATCTGCAGCTTGATTTATTTCAAAAACTTAACTTTCCATGTATAAAAATAAGATTCATGGTAGACATACAGTACACAAAAGACCAACCAATACATATTTTATAAAATGGTTTAATGAATGCATGCATGTCTGATACAATGATCAATAAATTTACTTAATTCAAATTATTTACTGTTGTAAACATTTTACAAAAGCATTGTGATTTATCTGGATATACAGTCCTTGATGGAAGAACTATTCAGACTGAATCAGTGGCACATCAAAAAATAAAGCTGACAATACCCATTCTGCATATTCTCTTTCAACATGATTCCAGCAAGAGAAACAGCATGGTATAAAAGTGTACAGTAAAGATTGTTCCTACCATAACATCAAATTCTGAAAACTGTAAATACAAGTTAAAGTGGATGAAACAGTCAGAAGTCATAATTATTGTAACCAGTCAGAAATTACAGTAAGAAATGTTATCCAGTTATATGTAGCTGTCAAAACAACATATTTATTTCTTTGTCAGTTGATAATTCTTTTCCAACAAGACAGCAAAACTTTGGCAATTAGAGGTGCTGAAAATAATTTTAAAGTTCAAGACACAGTCACAGCATTTTCTTTGTGGAAGGTGAACTGTACACCAAGGCTCAGAGGTTGTGAAAACTGTTTCCAAGTGGAAAAAAGTGCAAATGTCCTGCACAGATAGCTTAAAAAGCTGCTGGTACAATCATTCACCAACAGAATCTTTGTTTTCTTTTTGCATAGTTCACACATTACTGGGAATGTGACAGGGTGTGCTATTTTTGGCAAGAGCAAGAAGAAAGTGATACTGGTGTGAGTTGCCATGTTGGGCATGCTGGATCCATGCAGAATTCAGGTAGAGGGCTGCTACCTGATGTTGTTGGACACTGAATACTGGTTTTGTTTTTGTTGAAGCAGTTCTGTAATAGCCAACAGCTTCTTAAGAACATGCTGTGGAAAAAAGAGTAAATACAACCGTATGTTAGCAACTAGTAAAAAAAAACAAAAATTTTACTTGAGATACATTTTCAACATTAAACTACGTATTTATAATTGTGTTAAGGTAAAGAAGATACGGAGGGGAGCATGGCAACAGCTCTGATTTCCTAGTCAGTAGGATACTACTTGAAAAGGGAACTCCAAAACAGCATTGTGAAATTTGCTGCTGTACCCATGGATCTTCTTGCTTCTTCTTTTAACACAGGTAGGCTAAGAAAGTATACTGCTAGCACACAGTCGGGAGTTCAACCATTTTTTATCACTATGGAAGTACTGTTCTAACTAAAACAGGTGGTCCTGAACCATTAGGGCATAATTAGGAAGAAAAGAGAAAAAAAATGCAAAAGAATTTTGTCTGTAGAAACCCGTAACAGAGAATTTATCCTCTGACATACGAAGTTAAGTATATCAAGAAAAGAAGATCACATCCCTCATCATTATCTGTATCAGGTTTTTCTGAAGATCCACTCTTGTTTTTTTTTGGGACAGAAGAAAACCATAACCTGTTTGTCCAAAAACGTTTATTTAGTACTGATTGCTTCTGTCCTGCCTGGCCAGTCTAGCCACTTCTTGTGTTTTTTGTCACGACTATCAGCCACAACGACTCAATTAGGAACTCGAACATGACTTTTTCTCTCATGCCAATATAGAGGTAGATTGCTGTTATTGAACTGGATTAGATTTCAGGTGCTGTAATAAAGAACTCCTAGTTTATTTTCAAATTTCTTGAGCTTTTTTTCTTTCAAAGTTAAGAGTTAAATGCAAGTGTACTTCCTTGTTTTATGAAATCAGAAGTTCACAGCAGCTCTAGTTTGGAAAAAAAATAGTGCTGAAATATGCATTATTCAAGTAAAAGCTCGCTTGTCCTGCTGCTGCCAAAGGACCTGCCATACAGATTTATGGTCTACCTGGGATTAAATTAAGGCCTTATAAATACAATAGTGAAAGTGATTATAAAAGGTATTTGGAAACACTTAATAGTGTTAATTGAAATTAACTATCAATGTCCAAAACTTAACCTCTTTGAAAGTCAGTCATTCCAAAGCAAAAACAACTCCCCTCGAAAACCCCACAACCAATACAATCAAGGTTAAATCTCAATAATCAAAATGAAAACAAAACTAAACAAAAAAACAACTCAAAATCCTCTGTGGGAGTCCCCTACTGGCTTCACTGAACATTTATCAATGGTTTCAGCTGATACTAATCAAATTTAAGAAAGATTGTTGCTAATAAGAGGTTTTCAAGTGCAACTGTCCCTGCCCTGGAGGCACTAGCATCAAATGGTAGGTTACTCAAATCACTATTGCCTGCACAGCACAATACACAGAAATGTTACTGTGAGGTAAGTTTAATTCCTTACTTGAGGTTCACTGTTATTAGCAGACCAAAAGGAGGTGTATTACTTCTGTAATATACCTTCGAGACAATGCAGTAAGTAATTTGAAGTAATTCCTTTTTGAGTTTTTATAAAGCCATTTGGAAGTTTAATCATTTACAGTAGGCCTGCTTAACAGCTAGAACACACTAATCACAGTGGGTTTGCTAGAAAAGCTTGCCATGTTGGTTTATAAATGTACTATAAAATTAGGAAGCAGAAATAAGACAGCAATAGAAAGCTAGGGGAAGTAAATTTAGTTCAGCTGAAAAAAACAAGATCCTTAAAATATTGACCTAGAGAAACTGTCAGTAGTTTCGCAGATGTACGCTTCCTCTAGAAACTAAAATCTTCCTCTCTAAACCTGAAAAATCTTGGTTTTATTGTACAGATCTTGCAACTATGGACTAAGTATTTACAACTAGCAGCTTTCTTGTGAGATGGCACTTTTTAATTTTTTTTTAATCAAACATAATGCTAGCCAGAAATACTTAAAAGAATCTTGGCATGATGGATTACCTCAAGATACCCTATCTGCACCTGTGATTTGATGGTTAATCTTTGTGGTTTACCTGCATTACACCTCGTTCATTACTGAGTGTCCGAAGTTCATCTGAATGTGCCACACAAATCTCGTGCAAGGCTGCCAGATCACGGGATAGGTCAGTTCTAGAGTGCTCTGTAGTGTCTGGAAGCTCAGGAACATTCTTGAACAAAAATGATGAGAGCAGATTT